CCTCGCCTCGAGAGGGGGTCCTGTCCCGCCATGGGAATTTTTTCCCTTGCTCGAGAGAATTTTTTCCCAGTTGTCACCTGCCCTTGATCGGCGATGCAGGCAAAATTCTGCACAACTTCTGTTTCCGATAGTTCGATTTGTAACTTTCTGGAACATTGAGATTTCTTCCAAAAATCACGGAAGAAATGGTAGAAGATGGGGAAAACCCTGGGAGATGGTATGTAGCGTGGAGAAGGGGCGGGAGAGGGGTTGTAGCCGATGAGAAGTCTGGGGCTCGTATTTTGCAAAAACTTCGCCAAATGTCATTCAAACCAAAGGTCAATCGAAAGTCACTCATAGAATGTTTCAAATAGTTTATGTACTCTTCGTAATCTATAATCTCGATATGACAGATCGAACGATAGAAATAAAATGAGCTTAAAAAGCTACGCTAATAGGTTATGGTGATCGCTACCCATACCCAGAAATCACAGTTAAAGTCAGTTCGAATACACAAAATGGGCCAATCAATTGGAAACGTATAGAAGTAGTAGATTCATCGTAGAATTGTTAACAAACAACAAAGGAACTGTACAAATAATTATCAACATTAAGGCCAACTGAAAAAAAACCTTGCAATCGCGCTAGTGCACGCGATGCGACAACTTTGAGAAAATCATTGTTCATAGAAAAGCATTGGATGAGATGATGACGATCGCCTATAAATAGAATGCTCCTTGTTCAAAGGAAGTCATGCTGGATTGTTCCAGAGAATCGTTCTCAGCAGCAGCACCACCAATCGTTCACGACGAATGCGAATGTCCTGATGACAATAGTGCTGGCACGATTGCTCCTCCAATTATAGCTACCAGTTCCTTGATTGTGAAGCTTGTACCGCCTGCAAATCACTTGATTTAGCCTCGAGCCTCGGACCATCCTCCCTGTGTTCACCTAAGTTGACCATCTTCCTTGTGTTGAGAAAGGGTCCGAGGCTGCAGTAGCGTGCCTCTTTCTTCGGTCAAAAGTGCACGAAAACGGGAGGGTAGACGGGGTTACCCAGGCGTCGCCTCCATACTCCTTCCGCGCTGCTGCCAGGGCACACCATCGTTGTGATGATCACCGCGAGGGAGGGAGGGAGGATTTCCGATAGTTGAAAATGATAGTTAAATGCTGACGACCTCCCTCCCGTTTTCGGGAAAAAATGGAAAAAGTGATAGGAAGAAGGGAAAATTTAGGAAAGTGGTAGGTAGCATAGGGAGGGGGTCGTATTTGGGGATAGAGTTAGGGGTCGTATTTTTCAGGAAATGATCACAAAGTGATGGGGTGCCCTGATTGCAGGTCTCACCAAAATGAGATGTGTTGGCTGAAAGGACCTAACAAAAGGGATTAGCCGAAGTGCAAACTGCTCCTTCCAAGCCGAACAGCGCCGGAAATGAACCAGTACCAGAACCTGGCTTGGCACATGCGCACTCCATAAAGACCCCCCCCCCCAACTGTGCCACTTGTAGTAAATATAAGCATCTGAGAGATCCACTCACGCTATCATTTAACACAGTCATGACGCTTGCGACGTTTCTTCCTAGTGCACGCTACGATTTTTACGATCACATGAATATGCAATGTTCGAATTTCAAACATTTCGATAGAATTCACAACGAGCACCAAGTACTGCTGTGCAATTCAGGGAATGCTATAGATTCTCTACAGCACAATTTTGACAGCTTCGCTTAAAGGCAATTCTCGCGACCACAGTTCATAGGTAATACAGTTCAAAAATAGAATTGCCCGTGTGTTTGTTGACTTATTGAAGAAGCACGAAAAAGCGCCCGCAATAAGACCCTCTTTATTTCAATTGATCATGATCACCGGACGAGCGTAAGGTGGTCAAGATCAATTGTGAATTGCGAAAGGCGGCGAGACACTGATAAGAGACGAGAGAGGCCAGAAAATGACGGTCGAGGACAGCTAAAACTCAATCCCTTCAACTACACCAACTTTCTTCTTTTCTCTGCGCTCTCTTGCCTGGATGGCGATTCATGGCCACTTTGACCTTTCACATTCCAACTTCTCACGCATACCCCTGAGTTGGCTCACCACGCGAATCATCCCTCCCCCTCGAATAAAAAAAATCATTTCTCGTGTCTCGCAAAATCTTTTTTGTGACCTCACGATGCTGGTGGCAGGTGGCATCCTTATTGCTATGCGCTCTGGTCTATCGTGGCAGGACCCCCACCAAAAGTTATAGTCGTCACGTAATCGAAAACGACGGGCGAGAGAGAGCGCAATGGCAGTCTCACAACGACACGGTCACTGGAGGCCGGCATGGGCCTATCGGGCGCCAATGGGCCTAAAACCTGAGCGCCTGCGTTTTGCTTGCTGTTTTTCAACTTTTAAAAGCAGCATAGCCTCTGACGTTGCCTGCTTGACCATCGTGCACGGTTATGAGAACCTAGCCTTAGTTTATCGCGGAACGTGCCTTTAACTAAAGAATGTATCAGCAGTGCTACTACACACTTCATCATATAAGGTGTTTTCCATAACATCGATCGTTTCTTTGATGCCTACTTTCTTGAACATTTTGAAGGTAAAAAGGAATAATGGATAAGGTTTCGTCGTTGATCGATCCCATTCCGGGATGCGGCACGCATTCTACTTCCATTCAGAATCGTAGTGGCTTATTGAATGCGATGTGGCCTATACAATGACTTGCGGAAGCCAGCCGATGTACAAGTCAGCGTTTTTATCCTCCCAGGCAAATCTGGTATTTAGGAGGTACCAGATTCACCGGGAGGATAGGAACGCTCTTGTACATCGACCAAAGGGTGAAAGCATGGTTGGCCTGGGCGGGAGCCGAGCCGTGATTCGACCCTCGGACTGCGCGCTTGATCAGCGTGTCACCTGTCACAACCTTCGCCTCGGAAAACCTCAAAATTTATAAATTATCATGAAATCCATTGCTCCCAATATGCATGCAGGCATTCTTATCGGAGAACATTTGTATGCGCTTTTGTACCCTGAGAAAACCAAACGGACCAAGCAAAACGATTCCACGTCGGCAAGCGGGACAGGACACGGTAGAGCACACTGTCCAACAGCTTGGGAACGAAATTAATTACAAAACCCTTGTAGAGTAAATATATGCCTCGTTCAGGATTCTGCTTTGGGGTCAAGCCGTAACTAAGACAGTACAATCAGAAAGCCTTTTTATTAGTCCTTACGGTATTGCAACATCAGGCCGCGTTCACAGCTCCAGAAAAAGAACTGTTGGTTCGACACTGCGGATTTGGGAGAGCTGAGAAATCCGCAAAAGGAATGTATAGTGTAGTTCGCTGCAGACGGTTGGGCGTGTCAGGCGAGATGGGTAGGGCTCGGTGCCAGACCTGGCTGGGCGTGTCAGGCGATGAGTTCGGTGCGGTGCCGTTCTCCACCAGCTGTTAAAGAAAGCAAGTGATCACTGTATCATATCGTTCGTATTACTCGTTTTCTACCACTTTTCGTCATGCGCGAAAAATCACCAATTCTCTAAATTAATACGTTTCGTATCGTGTCCAGCCCCCCCCCCCCTTCGCGCATTCGTGTATTCTAACAATTCCGCAATTCGCTCTCGCAAAGTAAGAACGCGGCCTGGTTAGGCTGCTGTATTTTCAGTCAGGGTACAGCATCGTGATGTGTGAAATGGTAGTGTAGGCACGACCCCCCCCTTCCCCAGCATCTACCCATCAATTTCCCCCATTTCCCACATTCTCCAGTCCAGTTTTTTTACCCAAAAATTTTGCTGTCGAGCGGGGAGGGGGGGGGAGGGGAGAGGGGAGGGGTAAATAGTACACATGAAACAGGAAAAATCACGCGAAAAGTCAACAACCGGGAAAAATTTTTTCCAACGCGGCAAATTTCTCTCAAAGCCACATACGACCCCCCCCCCTCTCCCAACAACGACCAATACGAATCCCCTCCCCAGCGGAAAAGTACGACCCCCTATGTTCACACAACGATGTTGTACCCTGTTTTCAATAATCCCGATAAAATTTAAGAGCAACCAAAACCAACCTGAATGTGAATGACCCGCGGTTGCTGGCGACTGTGCATCTACCACTAACATATAGTCCTTTACAGACTTCGCACGATTAGCCTGAAAACTTAATACAGTGCTATGAATAACCCGAGTTTCTAGAGTAAAAGTTTTACAATAGAACTAGGACACGATAAGCCCACTGAAAATTGATAAAAAGTCATGGGTTTTCAGTTTTCACTGTCAGGGAAACTGACATAACCTTACCAGTTCTGGCAGCACATGAACCGTCGCCACAAATAGAAATGTCCCTGCCGAGAAAAGCATGAGCACTCCAGTCGATGATTCAGAAGACCACAACGAATCTCGTCCTAGCTAAATACAACGTTTCATTTCTTTGAGAAACTTAAAATTACCCTAATTATGGAAGCCGAGAAAGACTCGAAAAAGGCTGTTAGGCAAGAATGCGGACATGGTTTTACGTACATTACGCACAAGGATTCTCGTACTCAGCTCAATATCTCTACCCGGCTAGGAGGGAGAGGATCCTTATCTGGCAGATCAAAGTAGGTGGGGTAAAATCTGGCCTAGAATTTACTCCGCCATAAACGACCCTCATCTCGCAACCAGCTACTTTTCATGTGCCTAAGACTGCAAGTGTACTCAAAAGACCTTCGGTTCTGAGTGATAAGTACAGTGCAGTTCCCCTCACCATCTTGGAGATCCGCCTTTATAGTGCTAGGGGGATCAAGTTCCCACGGAGCTGCGAATTACAAAGACATAATAAAGACAAAGCTGAAAGGTAAGCGCATCCCTTGTGGCGTACAGATAGTGCCTTTACGCGCTATACATGCTGCGGTGAGCGTAGAGTTAGACTCCCGAGTGGGAAGTGACTTTTGCCAATGAATCAGCATTCTTTCGATGATAAAGATAATTCTCACGTACACTTTCTATGACAGCGAAAGTCACAACTGCAGCAAAAGGGGCTGCAAAGCTGAAGACGAGCAGGTGTTTTCGAGCGCTTCGCACATCAATTCCTTCCATTAGTAGGAATGAAACTAAACCGAACGCAGCTGGTGCCTAAAAGAGCTGAGCAAAAATAAGTAAATGCAGAAAAGAAGCAATTGAAAATAAACAAATTGGGTTGTTCGTTCTCGTTATTTTCAGTTACCCAACTGTCCACAGTTTTGAAAACGAAGTCGACAAGGAAAACATTGTGGGGGAATTTGGCGGTAGAATTTGTTTACAGTGATAAAACCTATGGTTATTGAGGATGAAACTTCGTAAAACTTCTCTAGGAACTGCAGGGGATATGCTGCAGGGGACAGCCAACGTACAAGTCAGTGTTTTGATCCTTCCAGGCAATCTGTTACCAATTTACCGTTCCTGCGGGGCAAACGGCCTGGTTGGCCTGGGTGAGAGCCGATCCAGGAGTTGACCCTCGGAGCTTCAGAATAATCCATACGATTATTCTTGCACTTCAATAACCGTATAAAGATTCATTTCTAACGAATTTCTGAAAAGCTCGGCAAAAAAAGTCTCGAAGGCCCCAACCCAAAAAACCTTCGCCTCTTTTTCAGGTTTGGTACAAAACTCCAGAATTCTGCAATATTCGCCTATCAAACGTTCACAATACTTATATGTTCATATTCCGTTTTGCTTTCACTGTTCTGGCTATTCTAACAATAACAAGGGTAGGGGTGCACAAAACAAAATCATCGAAATAGCTTACTTTATGTAACATAATAGCGATGAACACAATAAGCTGCACATCTGATTTGTTGATTGTTGAAGCACTTCCGAGTGCAATACCATCAGCTGAAAGCGGGACATTGAAACTGTATTTTCGTACTATTCTTTCAAGGGATGAAAAGATGGCATACTGCTTACCACAGGCACGGTCCAAGGGTCGAGTCCCGGATCGGCTTCCTCCCAGGCCAATCAAGCTTTCCACCCTCTGGGAAAGAGTTAAACTGACACCAGATCCTTCTGGGAGGAGAACACCGACTTGTATATCGGGTGGCCCCGCAAGCTATTGTGTAGGCCATTTTGTATCGCACCCAACAGGCCACTGCGATTATTAATGGAAGTAGAATGCGTGCCGCATCCCAAAAGATACTTATCAACGGCCATCCACGACGAGGGCAGTTTGCACCAGGGGCAAATAGATCCAGCGTGGCAATGCTAGGGCGAGTTGAACTATCCAGAAAATTCTGTGAAGATCTGCGCGCGACGGTTCAAGTTGGATGTTTTCAACCACAGCCTTGTAATGGAATTCCATCAACATCAAAAACTTTCTATTTAGGGCCCCTATTGAAAAATACAAGGTCACAGAGCACCAACTTTATCTAGATCTTTGCTCCTCAGTTCAATTTGCGGCAAAACTATCAAGAAGTGAACGCTTAAACTATCCCTGACTCGGCAGTCAGACTTCTATGTGAGAGCTCTGAACGACTGATATAAAGTGCACCTTGTGTTCGAGCAAAAACGACCCATGGGGCAACGCTATTTCATTGACCGAACAACCCGTTTTAGCAACTCTATAATCAAGCGGACGAAGGTTCTACAGGTGATACGGGTTCGAAGACAATACAGCTACTTCTATAACTACCGCACGACTTTTAAAAAGGGCAAAACTTGCAGGAAAAAAATTTGATGAAACAGCCCCGAAGGAGAACGAAGAAATCACTCACCAGCCGCGTGCACAACAAGTCCTATAGTAGCAGATACACTTATTCTATTGCGTCCAGAACGATCGTCTGTAAAGCATAGAATCCAATTTTAATGCAGTTATTTAAAAAGATAGGAT